CCACCACACCCTGCTCATGATCGCGGTTCTCTGCTCGCTCAGTGCGTTGGACATCGCTGCTTTAGTTGAAGAGCTGTTGGCTGACAGCTTTTGAAGCATCCCGAGTGTTCGGTGCACCGATTGAGACGGCTATGTCGACCGCCCATGTCGATCCTGTCTCGACGGCGAGTGCGGGAGAAGTTCGGAGTGTGGGTTCCTTCCTGAAAACTTGCGGTCCATCGGAACTCATCTAACACTCAATGCGCTGCAGGTTACCCCGGACGGATGTCGTTTGTACTACTGCATCTAATGAGCTCTCTGAAGCGAGGGGTTGTTTACTTTGTCTGCCCTCTGAATGAAACGCTTTTCGTGTGTCCCTCATCTTTGATCAACACCCCGACGACACTCCCGCCATCACTTCCTCCTCCTTTCTTCTGTTCCGGACTCTACAGTATGCGCGAGCTAATCTTGTCAGGAGCATGTAAGCCGGCGAACAGGTTTTCTCATTTCTCGTCTCTGTTTACCCGGGAGCATGAGGGTAAGAGCGTCTCATCCACTTGGAAACAAGAAAGCGCTCTATTCATTAGAGCTTCTAGTGTTTGATTTTGCGGTGAGGCAAAGGGAATGATCCAACGGTTTCTGCTCAGATTGACACTTTTTAGCGGCAGATGAGGCTGCGCTTTGGTGATCAGGCAGAGAAAACAGACCATCTGCATTCCCCATGTATTCCATTCTAAATCGCTTTGAACACGCTTGATCTGCAGTTGCTACTTGATCAGAGGCCATCAATGTTGGACAGTTCAGAACTGTTCGATGTTGAGCTCGGGGCTATGGCAATGTCAGGTTTTTTGAACATCCATGAAACTTGAAGCCAGCGAAGTTGTATCAGACAGCACAGCGAAGGGATTTGTGCTAAAAATAGCGCTGCAAAAAGTCACGATCAACCAATCATTTGAACCGTTTGAACAATTCCGTGAACACCATCAATGATGTCCATTGATTTTTTTCAGAAAGACTGATGGAAAAGAAAAGTATGGAGGCTCAAAACTACATGCTGATAACTGAGACGCATATCAGTGATGCAATATATTGTTGAACTACGGATCATATGTTATTATGTCAGGACCCCAAAGACCATGAGTGATGATCAGAATGATCACGTGCAACAACCTTGACGAGCTCGCTGACAAATCCATTGAGATCTTTCAGTGCACGTGATAGATTGATTTCAGGGCTAGGGCGCATCACTGCTCATCAATGAACAGGTAGAGATACAGACAGCTTTGATATGTAATTGGTACATGTTTCCTGGGGTCCCTGTAGTATGTACTGACACGCCTACGGAGCGTATGAGTGCGCAGCTGCATGGGGAGGGACAAGGGACTAGTCGGAGGTCAAGGGGAGTGAGCTACGGCTCTGGCTCGCGCAGTATTTGTGTGTGGGATTCTGATCCTAAACAAGGTCAGGCTTGATGAAATGAGAATGAGCAGGGGGCAGTGGTGAGCAAAAGGGGGAGCAAAGGGACAATAGAACGGGCGATGTGACAATAATGACGACGGAGGACTGGACGAGAGGACGATAGAATGACAGGGAGATCAATATGTATGTCTGTAGCACAAAATGGGGGTTTGGGGGCAGTGTTGGGAAAATAATGCAGAAGCAGGCGCCGAGAAAGCGAGATAGAAAGTACTGGGAGGTCACTTTAGACTCTAGAGAGTGGGTGAAGAAGATTTCTTGTTCTTTGTACTGTACTACAGGATTTTTATACTAAGTGTGAATTAAATCCGAGGAGATAAATAAATTGAATCTCCTGTTGATTCAACAGGAGATTCAATTTATTTATCTCCTCGGATTTAATTCACACTTAGTATAAAAATCCTGTAGTACAGTACAAAGAACAAGAAATCTTCTTCACCCACTCTCTAGAGTCTAAAGTGACCTCCCAGTACTTTCTATCTCGCTTTCTCGGCGCCTGCTTCTGCATTATTTTCCCAACACTGCCCCAAACCCCCATTTTGTGCTACAGACATACATATTGATCTCCCTGTCATTCTATCGTCCTCTCGTCCAGTCCTCCGTCGTCATTATTGTCACATCGCCCGTTCTATTGTCCCTTTGCTCCCCCTTTTGCTCACCACTGCCCCCTGCTCATTCTCATTTCATCAAGCCTGACCTTGTTTAGGATCAGAATCCCACACACAAATACTGCGCGAGCCAGAGCCGTAGCTCACTCCCCTTGACCTCCGACTAGTCCCTTGTCCCTCCCCATGCAGCTGCGCACTCATACGCTCCGTAGGCGTGTCAGTACATACTACAGGGACCCCAGGAAACATGTACCAATTACATATCAAAGCTGTCTGTATCTCTACCTGTTCATTGATGAGCAGTGATGCGCCCTAGCCCTGAAATCAATCTATCACGTGCACTGAAAGATCTCAATGGATTTGTCAGCGAGCTCGTCAAGGTTGTTGCACGTGATCATTCTGATCATCACTCATGGTCTTTGGGGTCCTGACATAATAACATATGATCCGTAGTTCAACAATATATTGCATCACTGATATGCGTCTCAGTTATCAGCATGTAGTTTTGAGCCTCCATACTTTTCTTTTCCATCAGTCTTTCTGAAAAAAATCAATGGACATCATTGATGGTGTTCACGGAATTGTTCAAACGGTTCAAATGATTGGTTGATCGTGACTTTTTGCAGCGCTATTTTTAGCACAAATCCCTTCGCTGTGCTGTCTGATACAACTTCGCTGGCTTCAAGTTTCATGGATGTTCAAAAAACTGACATTGCCATAGCCCCGAGCTCAACATCGAACAGTTCTGAACTGTCCAACATTGATGGCCTCTGATCAAGTAGCAACTGCAGATCAAGCGTGTTCAAAGCGATTTAGAATGGAATACATGGGGAATGCAGATGGTCTGTTTTCTCTGCCTGATCACCAAAGCGCAGCCTCATCTGCCGCTAAAAAGTGTCAATCTGAGCAGAAACCGTTGGATCATTCCCTTTGCCTCACCGCAAAATCAAACACTAGAAGCTCTAATGAATAGAGCGCTTTTCTTGTTTCCAAGTGGATGAGACGCTCTTACCCTCATGCTCCCGGGTAAACAGAGACGAGAAATGAGAAAACCTGTTCGCCGGCTTACATGCTCCTGACAAGATTAGCTCGCGCATACTGTAGAGTCCGGAACAGAAGAAAGGAGGAGGAAGTGATGGCGGGAGTGTCGTCGGGGTGTTGATCAAAGATGAGGGACACACGAAAAGCGTTTCATTCAGAGGGCAGACAAAGTAAACAACCCCTCGCTTCAGAGAGCTCATTAGATGCAGTAGTACAAACGACATCCGTCCGGGGTAACCTGCAGCGCATTGAGTGTTAGATGAGTTCCGATGGACCGCAAGTTTTCAGGAAGGAACCCACACTCCGAACTTCTCCCGCACTCGCCGTCGAGACAGGATCGACATGGGCGGTCGACATAGCCGTCTCAATCGGTGCACCGAACACTCGGGATGCTTCAAAAAGCTGTCAGCCAACAGCTCTTCAACTAAAGCAGCGATGTCCAACGCACTGAGCGAGCAGAGAACCGCGATCATGAGCAGGGTGTGGTGGTGGGACAGCTGC